AGGTCTGTAGCAAAAAGTTGCGTGATTTTTACTTTAGATTGTAACGTATCTATATGAAAAACATGTCAATGCGCTACTATAGTAGCGATTCATGATCATCATATTGACTGCAGACGTAGTAAAACGTATCATAGGACACTAATGGCATCGGTATACGGAACTTTAGATGGTCCCTAGAGATTAGAAAAGGTTTACTTGGGTAATTTAGTCAATAAGAATTGGTCTCTTAAATTGGATGAGTGGGTGTGTTAAACATCATTGATTAAATCTTTAATGAAACTGCACGATTTTTGAGTACGAATTCTACAGTGATGATAATAATAAATACTGCGAGAATTCACAAAACAAAAGAAAGAATTATATAAACTTAAATATAACATCCTGAATTAACAATACTCTAGTTCTGACCTTCGAAAAATATCGGCAGTAGACAAAACACATAATGTTCTTTAATAAGAGTTATTTTTAGAAAATTACATAATCAAATTCTTAATTGTGATTATTAAATTGAATAAAGTTTAATAAAGTAATCGACGGTATTAAGTTTAATAAAAAGTAAAAAAAATCATTATTGAACGCGAATTCACGCCAAAAAAATAATTAATTAGAAACGTTAAATTCTCACTACGCGATTAAAAAAATGTTTTTTAATTTGATATATTATCGGAATATTTTATATTTTACGCGTTGGTATGCAGATATCACACATTGATAATTCATTACTAGCCTGTACAGAGAGAGCTTCGATGCTATTCGATGATTCTATGTCTCCCGGTATCACGTTATTTCTATTGACCCAAACGTAGACAAACACGGATGTCCTTGGTAGGCGCAGGAAAGAATCGTTAAAAAATAAAACGTGTTAGGGTCATGTTCGTGAAATTACTACTTTCCTTTTTTCACGATGTCGTAATCTCTCATCTATAAAATATACGAATTATTGACAGCGTACATAAGCTTAACAGCTTTAAACTTGCCACCATAACAAGAGTTTTCCTGCTGCAACGACTGCCGATCATCATCCGCATGCGGTATTATAATCATTAAAAAATACTAAATTTTGTTCGTTGAATGCGAACCATACAGAAAATTAAATGAATAATCTAACGGTTGAATTAAATTAACGATAATACATTTGCATAAGTAAAACACATATATGTTTAGAAAATAAAATATTTTACTTCCTGTTTTGTTTATGACCTATAGTTGTATAGGCCAGTCACACTAAATTTTGAGTTGCGCCAATGTTTGTCGCAGAAGAGTATAGGTGCGGCTTAAAATATAAATATGATATCACGGCTACAAAATGGTAGCTGTTGATGTTCCATAAAAATCAGCATAATGAGGAAATGACGTTTGTTATTTATATCGAGCTTCTCAAACAGAAAATCAATGCATTGATTTTGTATTGAATCTTTGTAGCAATCATAGTTTTAAATTATGTGCAGGTGCAGTTTATATTTTGTCATATATATATGTGTGTGTGTGTGTATGTGTGTATTTTTTTCCTTTATAAAATAAAGGAAGTTGATGAATAAAATTAGTAATAAACGATATAGACATAAATGATATAAATCAAACTCAAAACACTTCTTTCCATTTTCAAATCTTCCTTTTTAATCCGTTCTTTTCATAACTTTTCAACAGTATTAAAGAAGTTTTCCTTTCTGCTATTCTTGCATGCTTTGGGGGATAAAGGGGGTAACCATCGGGGCTTGACACAGATGGCGATTACATGGACACAGGTGTGTGACGTCATTGGCCGCTGTCTCCATAGTAACGACGCGCATGGTGCCGCCAGTAGCTGCAATGCTGATAGCACAACACTACTGCACTGCGTCTGCCTGCTTGGTGCTTGTTGTTTGGGAGGGGGTCTTAGGGCACATCGACTCATCATTCTGCATTAATTAAAAAAAAAAAACTAATTGTACAAATAATCGAGGAAATGTTGACGAGTACATTGTTTTTCTTCTTTATACGTAACTAGTAATGCCGCAGTTAGCTTGTTAGATGTTAAGAGATTACACGCAAACGAGACAATTGAAATTTCCTTCAATTCATTTATGAGCTACAAGATTGAAGATACCTTTACGGTCACACTATCTGTCATTCTAGACATGTAACAAGTGCATATTAATAAGTGTTCGATACATTAACTAAAACATCTTCCGTGACACCCTCCCATGCTATTTATGCACGCGTAGCATACGGGAAATTTTCGAAAATATCTTCCGTCGACGTAAATGGATTTATATTAAAATTGTATTATTAAACGAAATTTGTTTATCCGTAAAGAAACGAGTTAAATTTTCAATAAATTTCCTTATGGATGTAAATATGTTAGATCCACGTGACCCACAATGGATGTAAATACGGATCCACGTGCTCCAAGCCGAGGTCATTCCCCGCTGTGGCAGGTTGCTACGGTAACCGTCCGAAAGATTGCGTTGCAGTCAGGATGCCGAAAAATTACGTGGGATGTCGCGAAAATTTTCTTATCTTTTTTAAAAGAAAGAAAACATTGCAGTAACGAGCCGCAGAATCTATTGAAAATTTTCACTTCCCTTCCGTAAAGTTCGTATTATCAATCTTCACTTTTACTCGTTAATTAGTTCTCCTCGTTTGTCATAAGACAATACTTATTTTGCGATGCATGCTATTGGCTTCAACCAATGTTGCAGTGAAGCACTATTAGAGATTAGGGTTAGTTGTGCATACAGCAACGCACTGCGACATACCATGCAGGTCATGACTGCAGTCTACCTGAAAGTTTCAGAACTTTTTTCTTTTACCCTTGATAAATTATACACTGTTTTTTCTTTTTTTTTACATTTTAAAATTCCGCATAAATTACACGCGACATTTTCGTTTCGTGTATATACTTAAATAACGATGTCGTTCCTTAGTGCGTGCATTGATGACGACTTCCGATTAACAACATTAGCTTAGAAAACGTGTCTATTGCAGTCAGACGTCATCTCCGTACTGCGCGTGCAGGAAGTGATTCACTGCGGACCTGACACAATCCGCTTCCGGTTACTGCATTCTCGTCTAAGTTTTTGGAAGAAGAAAAAAAGTTCTTTTAACAAACTAAAGATGGGAAAGTGTTTTAAAAACGAGAAAATAAATTTATTTACAGACGGAAAACTATCTTCTATCGCGTAAAAATTAACACTCGTCGCGCTGATAATGAAGTCACGTGGTATATTTGTTTACGTATTATGTATGTAAACAAATCTGTTTTATCCGGAATTTCCCACATCCGCAATTACAAGAAAATAAAGTAAAAAGTTATAATAGTTTTACCCGGGAAGAGTTATTATTTTTTTAAACTTTCTTTTCCCATTATGACTTTCAAAGAGAAAAAAAGGCGGGGAAAAACAAAAGATACTTAATCAACGCAAAGTATTGATTACCCATACTAGAGCGTCATTCATCCTCTGCAGATATTTTGTTAAATTCGATTTTTACAACTCTTGGGGAACCAATTAACGTTATTAAGTTAGTCTGTAGAAATGTAATCTCTCGAAAACGAATTATCGTTAATGGGACATAAACATGACAGTTATGGCCAAAAATGCGGTACATTTTTATTATTTTTCTACAGAAATATTAACTGGAATGGAAAATTTTAAATTTTAAATCATTTTCTGCTTATGTCACTAATATTAAATGATAATTAAAATCAATGTTCAGCGCTTAATGTCACGTAGTATGACTCTTATTTTCAATGACTGCAGATATAAGAAATCTCGAGTGATACCGCTTGTTATAAATTTATACACATAATAAATGAATCATTGCCATAAGAATTTATAGATGAAATGAATTAGATTATTGGTTTAACTTTGCATTCATTCTGGTTAGTGTAAATGATAAAAGAAATTACGAGTAGAGAACAATCTTTTTTTTTAATTAGTAATTTATTTGTACTATTTCTGTTGTTTCCAAATGTTAATTATGTCCTTGAGGAGGTATACATTTTCCAGGAAAAAATATTAATTACACAGAATTTTAACGTTACTTTCAAAATGTAAACAAATATTTAAACAAATGTGTGCAATATTCAAAGAAATGTTTTATCGATTTACTATAATGAAGTTAGAATTTATGGGGCAGCAATCGTCACGTGATACGACAATGCATTCTGTCTATCACAATAATGACAAAATCTTTCGAGTCCGATTCTAAACTGATTCACAACCAGAAAACGTCCTGGTATTTTGTCAGTCGTCCAGGCTTTTGTTGCCAGAAACATCACGATTTAAAAGAAAAAGAAAAAAAATTACAACAGAATTAAGATAGGTGTGTTGAAGATAATAGAGTATTATGTGTTCAACCAATCTATGTTATTGGAGTTTGAAAAATGAGAAAAAGATGTGAAGTTATATATATATATATATATTTATGTATGAGTTTTAAAAAATGATGTGGGAAGATAGAAAATGGTGAATGAAACATTATGTGGGAAGTGGTTGGTTTTATTTTCTTGACACCCAGTTCAAGGTTGAATTTTTCTCGCACATTTTCCTAAGTTAATATCCCGTACGACCCAAGTTAATTGAATAAATTGTGGGTAGAAGTAAATGGAATGAAATGAAAAATATAGAACGATTAAGATGAAGGGATGCGGGAAGAGGCGGATACGGAGGATATTTCGGGATTGATATCCAGATACTACAACTGAACCAGACATTCAAAAAGAGTGGTAAATACCTTATCCGGCATAAATTGGTGTCGGGGAAACAACTAGAATAATGGATGAAGGATATTTTGGGGAGTCTACACTGTTGCACTACAACAACCATCCAAACTCGGTCGAGATCATCTCGCCAACTGACCGCCGCAACGAGTCAGAATCGCGATGACGCATTGCAGGTGTCAACTGACCAATAGCAAACAACTTTACTGCTGAGCTCGTGGCTCGTGCACTCGCGCTTCCAGTAAACAGAGGCGCAGTGGGTTGTACCGTATCTACATAAGCTTGCGCATCGTAATGTAGGTCGTCATTTCGACGTTGTTATAAAAACAACACGGAGGTATCTCGTTAAGTTTAGTTATCTAAGTGTGTCTTCGATATATTCTACGTTCTGTTAACCGGCATTCTTGCGTTTACCTTGTGGATAATAAGGAAGAGTGTAACTAGTTCGGCGTGGATTAATACGACCGAAGAGTTTTGTACTAGTGACCGCGATCGTTGGTAGTCTGGTGTCTGCTGCTAAAGGTTTTAGAAGTGATTTGTGTATAGTTTGAGCATTTCATAATCCATCTTCCATCTCCAATGGTAAGTCACCATCTAACTAACTAAAACTGTCGTATAATTACTTCAATAACCGCTCGAATCGAACGTACAATTAGTTTTAATTGAAAAACCGCTCGTCATATGATATTGCCGCATTCGTCCGTTGACAACGTTATGTACCATCTAGCGTTAGTGACACGGTAGACGTCGATCGTATTTCGTTTCACGCCCAATATTTAACTCTTTCTAACGTTTCAGACGGCCAAATCAACTTTTTATCGCTTTCACTGACATTTGCCATATCCCAAAGACAGGATGACGTTTTCATCCGCAAACCTTATCGCCTTTACAAACGGACGTTAGGCTTAGGCTTTACTGGAAACTTGACGTTTTTGATTGTTTCGCTTGGGAAATTGTGGAATGACAACGAATGCAAAGAATGCTAACGAGCAATGTTTACCGAGAAGACGGCATTGCATCCAAACAACTGGCACTTCCATATGCCTCTCGGCTAATAATTCGAATTTGAAATGGCCAATGGATAGATTACGTCACCGTGACGTTTAATCGCTGCATTATTAGACCTTCCGGTTGAAATATCTGCAAGGGATACTTAACTGTAACCGTGAAGTTTTTTAATTAATTTTTTTTATTAGTTAAATCTCATATATAAGCACTTCATTGTATTTATAAAATTTTGGCATTTTTCCTTACTTCATATAAATTTTTTTTTTGCAGGCTGACCAGTTGACCGAAGAACAAATTGCTGGTATGAATAATTATTACTTTTTTCTCCTTAAACTTACTGTTGACAGTTCAGGCATGGCAACTTCTAAAATTCCCTCTCCTCAATTATCTGCTGATATATATTATTCAGCAGTTACTCTTGCTTTTAATTTTTTATAAAGTACTAATATGGGTCATTCATTTTTCTAAATTTTGAAATAATAGGAAATAAAATCTAGGTTAAAATAGTAATAATATATTTTTTAAACTTTATATTGACAAATATGGTGACATCACAAATCTTGACTTCTAAATTCACTTTTCTTCATCTTTTATTTTGCACTTCAAATAAGGTCACTATTATTATCAATATTTCAATTAACAAAACAAATATTCTTGACTTATGCAACATTCTTTTTAGCTTTGTAAAAGTTCTAAATAGAAATTGATCCTAACTTTTTTGTTAATTGTTTATGCTAACTTCTCTAACAGACAAAGTTCATTCCAGTCATGACCTCAATTTCTTTTGGAATATCATGCAGAAGAATGTCTAATTAGGTTAGGTTAAAGGTATTAATGCACCGATACTGTTGATTTTTATTGCCTTCATAGAATATTTTTATTAATTTTATATTTATTAAAAAAAATTTGAGATTAATTTTTTAAACTTTTCTCCTTTTTTCTCTTTTCAGAATTTAAAGAAGCATTCTCTCTTTTTGATAAGGATGGAGATGGCACTATAACAACTAAGGAACTTGGTACAGTGATGAGATCTCTAGGTCAAAATCCAACAGAAGCAGAACTACAAGATATGATCAATGAAGTAGATGCAGATGGTAATTATCCTTAAAACTTTGAAAAAAGAAAATTTTGAAAATTTTAATTTTACATGACTTCTCATAGGTAATGGAACCATTGACTTTCCTGAGTTCTTGACAATGATGGCAAGGAAAATGAAAGACACTGATAGTGAAGAAGAAATTAGAGAAGCCTTTAGGGTTTTTGATAAAGATGGAAATGGATTTATCAGTGCTGCAGAGTTACGCCATGTTATGACAAATCTTGGTGAAAAGCTTACGGATGAAGAAGTAGATGAAATGATTCGTGAAGCAGACATTGATGGTGACGGTCAAGTCAATTATGAAGGTATGATGATGAGATTTAACTTCCTTTTTCTTATTAAAATCCTTATCCCACACACCTATTTCTTCTTTTTTTCCAGAATTTGTCACTATGATGACATCAAAGTGAAGACACCCCCACTTCATTTGTAATTAAAATTCTTTTTACTTCATGTTTTGCTTTCATAACGTTTGGTGTTAAAATAGCTTCAACATTTAATTGGTCTCGGTGTTGCTCTGTAAAAAATTTTTGTACCATATTAAGAAAATGCCAGATGCATGGATGTGACTTGTCCTCCATTTTCTTGTCTGTGTTCCATCATACTAGACTGTCCTGTACTTTTGTAAATTTTCAACATTCATTAAAGTTAGTCTTTATGTCAAAGTATATTTGTGTTTATATAATTGCCTAAATATTCCAATATTTAAAGTGCTCCATGCAGTTAGGTTTGACAATTCTCTCAAAACAGTAACATTTTGCTTGAGTATTTGCAATGTTAAATTTGTAATTAATGTTGTTTTATCGATTTTTATTAATGTTGATCTGATGCAGCTTGTTAAAACATTCAAAAAAAATCTTAGAATCATTTTTTTGCTCTTAATCATTTTGAACGTTATCATTTGTAATGTCTGTTTTCAGATAAAATAACTAGTAATAAAAACCTGTCTTTAATTAGTTTAAAATCATGTCAGATTTATTATGGCTTGTGTGTTGTCAGTTTTTTTTCTAGATGGAGAGAGATATTAGACTGTAAATCTAAAGACTAAAAAGGTCTAAACAATCAAAGCTATTTACCATTTATCTGGAAATAATTTACTCAATGAGTAAATCTGGCAAGTTACCAATAAGAAAAGTTGTGTGTGTGTGTATAAGTTCCAATTCTGCAAGAAGTTGAGCTCTGGCTGACTTATTTCGGTGCGAATTTTGTAAAATATACTTTCTATTCATTGGTAGAATACAAAGGACCGTGAATATAGTAATGAGTAATTTACGTTTGTCTTTAATTTCAATTACGATGAATCAAACTTATAAATAGCACAGTGATCTAGCAAGTAATCTTGCAAGGAAGTTTATGGGTGTAGAAAAAAACGGTCGAGGAAACAGGTTTGAAAATGTGACTTGTAAATAAAATGTTGTGTCGAAATAAATGACATATTGAATGACTTAGTACATTTCAATACATAATTGCATAATTTTACTTACGGATAAAATTTACTAATTAAGATATTCGCTTGAAGGTTAACGATAGATGGCGTTTGTTCGTGACGACTAAACATAATAGAAAAAACTAACTCGTGTCTGCCGCATTTCAGGAAATTGATGAATTTTCGCTAGTAACATGCTTGACTACGAAATATTTTAACTGATAACGCGCAACATTTTACGCAGAAAAAAGCGGCGACATGTTACGGAGAATTAGTGAATTTTTCATATTTGTGTAATTTACGAGTTTGAAAAAATATTCTAATCTTTAAAGTATGTAAACAATTAACCTGTACACTAAGAGCATACTATGCAATATCATTGAAAACCGCGTAAGTAGTAATCTAATAATAAATGATATAATTATTTCGTGAATACGTTTTTTCTTATCGGAGAAAACGCAATTATGTATAATGAACTGTCTAAATTCGTTAAGCATTGTATATCTACAGTTAAACATTATTACTTAACACCATGTCTACTTAGTATATCTTGTTACATTTGAAATTAAAACAAAAAAAAAGTTTTTTTGTTGATCTATTGATTTGTTTTCGAATCAATACCTCACAAAAACACTTTTCTATTTTTATTCCATTGTATTCTTCGGTATGGTTTATAAATTTATAGAAGTTAATTACTCAAAAACTTGATCATTATTTCTTAATTCTTTATATATTACGCGATTCCTTTTTTCCCGATATTTCTACTACAGTACATGGTATACACGTTTTAGTGTATACTGCAAAGATTTTTACTTATAAAATTTATCGTTATGTCTTAATAATAATAATACGATTCAAGTGAATGATTCCTTTTAATCTCATTAAAGTTAAGAAAGTTCAACTGTTGTGTGTTTATAAATGATCAATATTATCAATTACGATAGCCGAGTTATTCGGATAAATGTTGATTAAAAAAAAATTAGCAAGACATAACTTTGCAATGCAATGAATCATTGATGAATAATAAACTCCACCCAAATTTCATGCAGTACAGAAATTTTTAACGTTACGTTACGGGAATAAATAAATATTTTTCTAATTGCCTCCTAACAAAATTTAAAATGATAGTATACTTTTATTACTTATTCACAATACTCATATCATATTTGTGGTGTATATGACCATAATCTTTTGTCTTAGTGTTATTTAATACTTACTCTTTTCTGGTATAGTTCCCAATATTTTTTCATATCTAAATCCAATTTTTTCTCCTGGAACAAGAATGTTATACATCAAGATTTATGATAAATTTTAATTTCTCTGTTATATTCTTTCTCTGTGTTCACAAAACTGAATTAAATAGTAAATATAGTTTGATAGAGTAAAGACTCTATTTTGGAATGAAATTTATCTTCAATATTAAGAATTATAAAAGATTTAATTATACAAATAGATTTTCATTTAAGTTTTTTTCCTTTTATACTCAAATATTTCAAATTTTATTTTTCCAGCTTAATTTATTAATTTAATATTAAAATCTAAAATATATTTTCTTAAAAATGATTTAACAATTACTCATACACTGGCACATAAAAAAAAATTCAATCTATTTTATATGCATGAATTATATTGTACTTTATTGATCATTCAATAAATCTTAATGCAAATTGTACATTATCATATGCTATTCAATTTTGAAAGTCACATTTGCTTCAAATTAATAGAAATAAAAGAATTTACATATTTCAATTAAATTCATATTAACTTCAGTCACTGTTTGAATTAATTTTTATGAGAATAAAAATAATGAAGAAGTAATTTTATTGATATCTGAAATATAGTGCTTTATCAAAGTTTTATATATATATATATATATAAAATCAAACTTATCAACTTTTGATTTCAATCACTCTTCATTTTAATGTAAGATTATTTTTTTTTTTTATACTCTTTCTATCAAGTCCATTGTGGGTTAAGTCATGCACACAATGGCACAGCTAGTGGTGAGGAATGGAATCTAACATATCCAGCACAGGATCATCCCTGAAGAATTGCGAGGGTTTTTCAACGTGTGTTGATTTGTTCCTGGATCCTCAGAGCAGTAAGTTCACAGCTTAACTACTAAACCATCTGGCCATCAATGAAGATCATTAAGAATGCTTTAAAACATTAATTTATATAAATTAAAAATCAATTAATTAAAGTTTGAAATTCAAAAATAATTAAGTAATTCCATGATTTTTGAAATAATTTATTAAATTACATTCCACTGTTTAATGTATCAGTATTTCTTGAACTATTTTTATATAGTATGTATTTATAAAATTTTTGTTTTTCTTTATTTTTCTAAGTTTAATTAGTCATTAATTTAGAAAAATACAAAAGAAAAGATTTAGTCTATTGTACCACTTAAAATTGCAACTGCAAGCTAGGCAGGTAATACTACAAAATATGCTATTTAAGGCTTCAGGATGTTTATCAATTTTCTTAACATATGTTTCACTTAATACATTCTGCTTCTGTGTTATTCTTTTTTAATGTCTTATTTCTTTTTTAATGAGGCACATTTCTCATCCATTTTTTCAAAACGAATGAGAAATGTCAATTACCAATGTTTGATGCAGCAATAAGAACTTTAAGTAACTTCCATTTCACTTGTCAGTCCAATCACACATAACAGAGATTGCAGCCTCCATGTCTGTGAGGGCTGCACAACACTTCAATGAAGTCAACTATGACAAAGAATAAACCATGATAGATATGGTAACCCTATTTATAGATATGGTAACCCTATAGATATTATAATCCACATTAGTTTTCTGGCAGCTGATAGTTCGGTGAATGTCAACATTCAGTGGCTTGGATGGCAAAGATGATGATGATCAGTGGGTCCTTAGTGTCTGGTATCTCAATGGGCTGGGGCTTCACAATCACCAATGAGGAACTTAGTGTTCATTGAGAAGATTATTCCAGAATACAGTAGTTCATTTTATGTATTTAGCACAAACAAATTCAAAATTTTAAACTCAAATATTTCAGTAATCAGGATATGTTTTACAATGATAAACACAAGTTTATTTTGCAAATTCCTGTTCAGGCAAATTTATTCCTGTATTGAAACTTAGCATATATAAAATCATATTTTTACACTTTATTATCCTTTACTTTCATACTTCTCAATGCACATTGTTTTGAACTTTGAAATATTGGCTTCTTTTATAGAAAGGACAATTCTCAACTAGATAATAGTACCTAGTTGAGAATTACATAGAGAAATTTCTTTACATGCATTATAACTAAAGAGGAACAAAGGATGATATAAAGACTGATGAATCATTCAAAATTTTTGACTATATATTTGTGATTACTCTGACCAGAATTACTATCACATGTAAGTTTAAAATCTTTAATTTCATTAAGTACTGTTTAATACTGATACATGCTGATTACATATATAGTAACTAACTATATACATATATAGTTATGTTTGAATATGATTTACTTTTGGCTTCAAAAACTTTATGCCAAGAAGGATAAATATATGCATTGCACATTGCAAGCTTTACTTTTCAATCTTATAAGGAAGAATTATCAAAGAATATATTACAATGTAGTATATTCTTGTCAATGTAGTAGACCTGTTTTTACCACTTAATTGTAAATCATATGCTTTCTTATTTTTTTTGCTCTCCTTGGTAAAGTCAAGTCACATACAGTATAAAGAACTGAGACAGCCAAATGCTTTTTTCATTTTCAGTTGCTCACAATGTGTTTCACATTATTCCACATTAACAAGAAAATATTTTCAGAATGTGGAACAACCAGCTTTAAAAGAAACTTGAAAACATAAGCTTAACCATTATTTATTAGACTTCCTAAATAGATTAACATTGTGTCTACATTTTTTCCAATGTCTATAAATATTTTGTAAATTTTATTAGCTTGTGATTTAGTCCCTTGTGGTTTGCATTTGATACACTTTTAAGTACAAATAACTAATTAAGAAATAGCATCTGCTCTTGTTAGGCTTGTATTTGTACCATATAACTTATCAAACAAATCCAAATAGGTAATTGCATCAGATGACTCTAAAAAGTACAACATTGTAACTTAGTAGCATTTTATTTTGATAAAATAAGTATACATTGTCAAATAAAAATAATATTGACATTGCAATCATCTGCCAATTTTTATACGACAAGTGAAAGTATATCTCTAGAATTTTAACTAACATTTAAAAAATTTGTATTAATTAATTAATTAAAAGACAAGAAAAACTCAATCAATACTAACAATAAATACAAAATAAAATAATTTGGGAAAATCCTGTTCCATCTGCTACAAGATTCTGCAGACCAATAAAATTTATATTTTGGAGGAGTGTGAAAATCATATTAAGAGGAAAACAAAAATCATTCTGGATCAAATATTGAACTTTAGCCCAAAATTCTTGGTTTTGTATGCTAGCTACAGTTCACAAAACATTAATTCATGGAAGCAAAATTATTAAACATGCCTTATTATCAATTAGACAAGGAAGCTAAGAATAAAGATTTTACTCCTTATAGTATTTACAAGAGGCAATGATCCTTACTGTTACAAAATAGCTTCTTTCAGAGTAATTACAAGGANAGTAAAAATACTTTTATCCATCTCATTTTTCTTTTAATATTTACACTTCAGACAACAATACATTAAGTAAAAGAGATATCTCAATTGTAATTTTAGCAATGATTAGTGTTACCACCCATCCGGTTTTCACCCAGACAGTCTGGGAATTGACTCACTGTCTGGGTGAACTACTAATTTTGTCCAGGAATATCGTGCGCAACCTGTTGACTTCTTTTTTTGCTTGTATGATTCGTATTCGTACAGTTCTCCAATGTCCAATAGAGCTAAGTCATCTGTAGTTGTTTTTTCTTAATTTAGTTACTTACGTTACTCCTACAAGTCTCCCTAGTCCTTAACTGTAACCGATTTAGAACCGGCATGCACTGCATGTTATTCTTTGCATTGCAAAATGA